CTGAGGAAGGCTTTCTTATCTCTCCTGGCTATTCTTTGGAACTCTGCATTCAGATGGGAATATCTTTCCTTTTCTCCTTTGCTTTTCATTTCTCTTCTTCTCACAGCTATTTGTAAGGCCTCCTCAGACAATCATTTTGCCTTTTTGCATTTCTTTTCCATGGGGATGGTCTTGATCCCTGTCTCCTGTACAATGTCACGAACCTCCGTCCATAGTTCATCAGGCTCTCTGTCTTATCAGATCTAGTCCCTTAAATCTATTTCTAACTTAGTAATATTTGAGGCTTCCTAATCTTTTTACAATCATTTAAATCATTACCATGATAAGTTTAACAAAATTCTAATAAAAATTCAATTCCCCTCCTTTCACCAACTCAAAAAACAAATCTAGTTCTCATATCTGCAAAAGAAGTTAGCACGTTGTCAGTTACCACATTGCTCAAAAAAAGCAGGATATGTCCTACAGGATATTTGCTAATGTTTTATTCAAGCTGTTTGAAAACAGCCAGTCTATTTTCAGAAGACACTTCCAAAATCAACAAAATACTCATTTAGAAGCTTTCCTGATATTAAGTTTGAATTGACATTCCATTCACTGTAATATTTAATTATAGTCCTTTATTTTCAGCAACAGCTTCTTTTCAAACTATCATATATCCTAGGCTAAGGGGAGGAACTCTCAAATTCTGAGTCACTTACTGTGGTAAGTTGAATACATGAATTCAACCATAAGAATATTGAAAAAAAGGAAGGATTATGGCATATTTCAAGAATACAATGAAGTGGGTTGAACTAATAAAATCTCTACTTATGAAAAAAATAGAAAGGAAAATGCTGAAATGAATGTTTTTTATTTGCTCAAATCAATTTAATTTTAAATCTATCCCTTCTGCAATCTATCCCTTCTGCCAACTCAATTTAAAATCCATTAAGTCAATAATGGATAATAGAAATTTTATTCTAAAATGGTATTTCATCCTGACTTATTATTGACATCACACCCTTAAAAATGGTACCAACATTTTGATACTTCTATTGTTTAGATTGTTATTATTTCCAATGTAAGATTTTTTAAAATGTATTACAGTATCTTAAAGTACAGACTTTGAAGGGCACACTCATGGTCTCATAAGTCATTCTGTGTTCTTTGGTAAGCAGAATTTTAATATGGCTTCCAAGATTTGCATCCTATAGTATATACACTCTATATGATCCCTTCCCTAAAGTATGGTCAGGACCTGGGAACATATTAGGCTTTCATTCTCGTCATTAAGTTATGTTAGATGAGAAAGGTGAAGAAATTTTGCAAATGTAATTAAGATCCCCAGTGAGTTGGCTTTTGAGTTAATCAAAGAGAGATTATCCTGAGTGGGCCTAAGGTAATGAGGCGAGTCCTTTAAAAGAGAGTTTAGGCCTTTTCTGAGCTCAGAGATATTCTCCTGCCAAGAAGCAAGCTGTCATGAGTTTTATAGCTATAAGGAAATTAATTCTGCTAACAACTACCCAAATGAGTTTGGAAGAGGGCCCCAAGCCTGAGACTGCAGCCCCAGCCAACCACCTTGATTATAGCCTTGTGAGACCCTGAGCTGAGGAGCCAGTAAGCTGTGTCCAGATTTCCTGATCCACAGAAACTGTCAGATAATAAGTGTATGTTGTTTGAAGCCACTAAATTTGTGGTATTGGGTTGGTCAAAAAGTTCATTTGGGTCTTCCTGTAAGATCTATGGAAAAAGCCAAATGAACTTTTTGACCAATCCAATAATTTGTTACATGGCAATAGAAGATTATTAGTTGTATTAGACATTTACTGTGCTAGCTAATAGTACAGATAACATGATCTGATGACTATGAATATCAAAATTGACTGAAAAGTTAGTATTACAACCAGACTGTACTGTAGCAATATAATATACGTACCAAAGGACGTGAGAAGAATTTTTCATATCAGGAAAGAAGCTTGATACAGTAGGGCTGATGTGGCAGAACCAAGTTAAGACAGAGCAATTAAAATGCAACACTTTACAACAGAGATTGGTAAGAATGATTTTGTCCAATTGGGATAAAGAAAAGTAGAGACCAAAAGGTGGACAAAAAGGATAACGTGATTTAGCAATAATTTCAGTGTGGGAGAAGACATAAATATCAGACATAACTTTGAATCTCTCTCTTGGATATTGGGAAAATGGCAGTATCGTCAACTACATAAAGTATGCAGAAAAAAAAAGTATGCAGAGAAAATAGCAGTATATTTTCTTTTTATGCTGTAGAGTAGGGGTCAACAAACTATGGCCTACAAGCCCAATAGCCCAGAGCCTGTTTTTATAAATAAAACTTTATTGGAATACTGCTGTGCCCTTTCCTTTGGAATATTGTCTATGGCTGCTTTTGTGACAATGGTAGAGTTAAGTAGTTTCAACAGAGACTATGTAGCCTTTTGCAGAAACATTTGACCACCCTGCTGTGAAGCATAGTATGCCTATAGTCCTTGACACATAGCAAGCTGCTTAAGATATGCTAATGACCATTATCAGTAAAATTTATTTGTAAAAGTCTCTAATAAATAGCCTGGACAAAATAGTACTAAAAGTTCTTATTCTTCCTTCTGGTTCAAATGTTTCAGAGTCCATGGCGCTCCTCCTTCTTCCACCTTATGATGCAAGAAATGTAGATAGATAAACAGTTGATTGAAACGGTGGGAGGAAATTAAGATTTTAGCCAGACCATTGTCCAAGGATATAATTCATAGCCTATAGATCTCATAAAAAGGTCAAACAACTAATATGCAAACACACACTTTCTGTGGCAAAGAATGCTGTTGTCCCACACTATACAGTCTCCCATTCTTCCTTAGAATAACAGCTGTCCCATTGCCATCTAAATTTAGCTAAGCACACAGAAGTCCAACCATAGACACATTTTGCAGCCTTTTTTGCAGCTAGAAATGCTGTATGCCTGAAATTCTCACCAGTAAAAGGAAAGCAAAACTATTATGCAGTCCATGGGGTCTCAAAGAGTGGGACAGGACTTAGTGACTGAACAACAACAACAGAAGTCTTCTATGCTTTGCTTTAAAAAGAAATTTGGAAAGCTGCTATTATGCAGCACAGGAAGCTCAGATGGGTGCTCTGTGATGACCTGGAGGAGTAGGGTTTGCAGCAGTGGGGCGGCGGGGAGGGGAAGCAGGTGAGAGGGAGGCTCTAGAGGGGGATGTATGTACTTACAGCTGGTTCACGTTGTTGTACAGCAGAAACTAAACCAAATTATGAAGCAATTACACTCCAATTAAAAAAAAAGTAAATAAAAATATATTCCTACGTAAAAAGAAGAAATTTCCTTGCCCCTCCTGATTCCCACAGGGTGTGATGAAGCCAAGAAGTTCAGCCAGCTAACCATGAGGACAAAGATAGCATATGATAGAATCGTGTCCAACTCTTTGTGACCCTATGAACTGTAGCCCACCAGGCTCCTCTATCCATGGGGTTCTGCAGGCAAGAATACTGGAGTGGGTTGCTATGCCCTCTTCCAGGGGATCTTCCCAACCCAGGGATCAAACCTGTGTCTCCTGCAGTTCCTGCATTGCAATGACATTGGTTGCAAGCCTATTCTGTGATGGCTACATGGTAAGCATTCAAAAATATTTGTCAAATGAATAAATTAATAAGTGCATGTCAGGATTAAGTCATTATCATATTGATTTTTGTACTTATTTTTTGCAAAGTTTTAATGATAATCACACTATTTTAAAACAAAATTTAATCATTTTAACTGTTTCAAGTAGGTATTTTTTCAAAATTTCAAATGTAAAAATGGGGATAAATGAAAGGTGTCTTTCCTTCATACACTGATTTTTTTCCCCCTTTGGGAACAGCCAGGATTACTAGTTTCTTGTGTAGTTTTTGACCACACAATTAGAACAAAATAAGTGCTATTTTTAAAAATCTATGTGAAGCAAAATTCGCAGCACTATTTATCATTAAAACAGTACATATTTTGCCCAGTGCCTCCCATTTATTTAACATCCTAGGAAAAAATATCTGTGATTTTCCAGTTAGTACTTACACCAGCTCATCAGCCCTTTGGCTTCTATTGTGAAGTGCATTCTTATCCCTAGACTCTGGCAAGTATTCATGAAGTTTGTTCACTAGGAAATAGAAAAGGTCACTGGTCTGTGAAAGCAAGCAGGAAAGAAATGGTAATTAAGTTCAGTTCAGTTCAGTCGCTCAATCGTATCCGACTCTTTGCGACCCCGTGGGCTGCAGCATGTCAGGCCTCCCTGAGTTACCTGTTAGCAAAACTGTCGATTCTTCCATAATAAAAATAAGAAATTATTTGTTCTTTGATTAGGGAGAAAGGGATTTACAATCTTCTCTCATTAATGCTAGCATAACCCAATTGAAAACATACTTTTACTTACAACCAGGAGACCACTGTCCACCTGAACAGAGCCAGAGCTGAAACTGAGCAGGTGATGCTGGGAGATGACTTCACCATTAATACTGAAGACCATCCAGAAGCAGGTGTATAATTTAGGCAAGTCATTAAGTCACCTTGGAGTAACAATGTAAAACGGGGGCCATCATATATCCGGCCTTTCCAAAGTAATATGGCTTTTGTGAGAACATGATGAAATAATGTCTAGAAAAGCACTCATTGTGAAATGTTTACTAATTCAAAAACAAATGAATGGCAGTGGGACAGCCTGTGAAGATGGTGCAGAATGATTTTAACACTTCTGTTAAAACAGTGGAAATGTAGATTGCCATTTCTGCCAAACTAAACACTGACTTAAGAGTGGGGGAACCAATTTTTTGTGTGTTCCTATCCAGTCTCATGAGATAATCGAGCGCGACAATAAGCACTGGCCCATGAAATCAGGCAAGTTGGTACTAATGAGAAATAGGATGTAATCGCTTCTGTTTTCTATCCCTCTGTTGTTCCTTTTCTCCCCAGAACTTTTTCATTTACTTGTGGCAACCTAGACTCCTTGTTTAGACAGGCACATGTGTGCTCTTATTTAGTTAACGTGGCATGAGAAGAGGCTGGAATGGCAAGTGGAGAATGGGAAGGAGAAGAGGGGCAAATGGACACCTTGGGAGAAGTGCTGGGATTTACCTGGTGCCCTGATAAATTAGCAGAGCACGGTAGCTTTACACGCTGACCCTGGAGCCAGGCTGCACATATGCTCAGTCGTGTCCGACTCTTTACGACCCCGTGGACTGTAGTCCCCAGGCTCCTCTGTCCATGGGGTTCTCCAGGCAAGAACACTGGTATGGGTTGCCATTTCCTCCTCTAGGAGATTGTCCCAACCCAGGGATCAAACCCATGTCTTCTGCCTTGTCAAGTGGATTCTTTACCACTTGAGCCACCTGGGAAGCCCAGTTCTGGCAATGGGTAGCTGCAGGGTGTTTGGCAAATTACTTATATATTCTATAACTCTTCATCTCTAAAATGGAATTCATAGAATCACCTCGTGAAGTTGATGTTAGGATTAAATAAGACATTATTTGTAAAGCCTGAACAGTACTCAACATATTGTACGTGCTTAATAAATATCAGTGATTATTGTAATCGCCCACCTCTCAGTGGGTCAGGAATTTTTACATTTAAAATATCTTCCACCTACTAGCAACAACATGAAAGAATATTAAAATTATGTCAAAAGAAGCCAGACACAAACTCCAGTACAATTCCATGTAACTGGAATTCTACGAACAGCAAAATTAATCTATGATAGAAAATACAATAGTTGCCTGAGGACATGGGTCAGAGGAAACTTGAGTGCCAGAGGGCACAATTTAGCCCTAAGAGGTGATAGAAATGTTCTAAATCTTGGTTGGGTGGTGTTTATACAGGTATATACATTTGCTAAAGCTCTTTAAACTGTATGTTAAAACTCTTTAAACTCTTAAAATATATGTGCATTTTATTATATGTAAATTGGACCCCAGGATTTCTTCAAAGAAGATATACAAATTGCCAGTAAGCAGGGGAAAAAATGCTCAACATCACTAACCATTAGGGAAATGTAAATCAAAACTACTAGATACACCCTAACACCCATCAGAATGACCGCTTCAAAAAATCAGTCAATAACAAGTCTTGGCAAGGAGTGGAAAAACTGGGGACTTTATGCACTGTTGGTGAGAATGTACAACGGTACAGCTGCTGTGCAAAACAGTATGGGAGTGACTAAAAAATTAATAGAATTACTACATGATTTAGCAATTCTGCTTCTAACTGGGCTCCGAAAAGAATCGACAGCAGGGTCTTAAAGAGATATTTACACATCCATGTTCATAACAACATTATTGACAATACTTAAAACATGGAAGCAATCCAAGTGCTAATCAGTGGATGAATGGATAAATAAAACATGGCATTACATGTCTGGAATATTATTCAACCTTAAAAGGAAGGAAATTCTGACATATCCTTTAACTTCAGTGAATCTGGAAGACATCATGCCAAGTGAAATAAGCCAATCACAAAATGATAAATGCTGTATGATTCCGCTTACATGGATAATCAAACTCATAGAAGCGCAAAGAAAAAGCACGGTTGCCAGGGGTTGGGGGAGGGGAAATGAGGCGTTTTGTTTATTGAGTACAGTTTCAGTTCTGTAAGATGAAAAGAGGTCTGGAGATAGATGGTGGTGATGGTTACACAACATGGATACATAACACTGAACTGCACACTTAAAGATGGTTAAGATGGTAAATTTTATATGTTTAAAAACTGAAGGAAAAAAAACCATGAACAAAAAATGAAGGGTTGGGAAAGAACATATCTAGACAACTCTTTTGGGACTTCTTTGGCAGTCCAGTGGTTAAGACTTCAAACTCCCAATGCAGGGGACACGGGTTTAATCCCTGGTTGGGGAACTAAGATCCTGCATGCCATGTGGTTTGGCCAAAAAAAAAAAGAGAGAGAACTCTTTCATTCATTCACTGAACATATAACTATTTAATCCAGCCATGTGGCAAGTACTAAGCGAAGTAAAGCAAATGACATCTTAAGCAAAACAGACTAACTGGACATGGTATCTGTACTCCTAAAGCTTTCAGTTTAGTCAGCCTATGAAAAAGTGTTTTCAAATTTTAAAAGTTTTATTGTAATAAAAGAATAAAAACTACCTAACAGAGGGAAATTATACCCCTATGAAGTTGATTTTTAAAAGGGAAAATGATGCACAGCTGATCCTTCAACAACAAGGGGTGGAGGTTTGGGGGGAGTTAAAAGTGCTCATCCTCTTCACCATCAAAAATCTGAGTATAACTTACAGTCAACCCTCCATATCTGTGGTTCCATACCCATGGATTCAACCAAATGTGATCATGTAGTACTGTAGTATTTACTATTGAAAAAATTAACATATAAGTGGACCAAGCAGTTCAAACTGATGTTCAAGGGTCAACTATATATATTACTATAATTATATAATATTATGTTGTTTATTATATTATTATAATAATTATATTATTAATTATAAGAATATGGCTATTATTCATTATACTAATTTTATTATAATTTACAAATATATATATAATTTCCCATCCTCTTACCCAAGAACCAAAAATGAGAGTTGCCTCTAAGCTAATAATGTGGTGTATTCCTAACAGGGTCTCTCTAGCACAAGCATTTTAGATGACACAGTACTACATCATCCCTACCTGCCTCAATGCTGGGAACACCAGACAGACTATTCTCTTTAGCTACTATGCCCTCTGGTTAGTGTGACCAACCATCCCAATTTGCTTGCAATTGGTCTAGCTTTTGCACTACAAGCCCCAAGTGCCATGAACTTCCTCAGTCCCAGACACACTGGAGCAGTTTGTTACCCTATTCTGGGTAAACCAGGATGGTTGGCCATCAGACATGCGAAGCACTCAGAATCTAAGAAATAGCCAAGACCGTCTTGTATGGTGGGGGAAGCTGTGCCCCTCCCAGCTGTGCAGTAAAAAGGCAACTAGGTATGAGGCCAGGAGCCGGAATCGGCCTCACCAGCACAGCAGCAGTGCTCACCTGGGCTCCTCAATGCCTTCCCCTAAAACTCAGGGACACCAAGTCAGTCTTCCAGAGTAAGTCTGTAACTTGCCGAGTGGGACAGCTAGATCGCTTTGACTTCTCAGGAGTCACCTTTTTAAAAACTTTATTTATTTATTTATTTGTGTCTGTGCCGGGTCTTCGTTGCTGTTCCGTCTTTTCTCTCGTTGCGGCAAGCAAGGGCCACTCTCTAGCTGTGATGCTCCGGCTTCTCGTTGCCTCTCTTGCTGGGTAGCGCGGGCTCTAGGGCGTGTGGGCTCAGTAGTGGTGGCCTGCAGGCCTAGTTGCTCTGCAGCCTGTGGAATCTTCCTGGATCAGGGATCAAATCCATGCCTCCTGCACTGGCAGGTGGATTTTCTACCACTGAACCGTCAGAGAAGCCCAGGAGTCATCTTTAACAAGGTGAATGTACTTAGTGTCACTGAACTGTACAGTTAAATATGGTTAAGATAGTTTTGTATCATGTGACTTTTACCACAATAAAAAAATTTTTAAATATATCAACCCTACACTTAAAAGTGTATTTAATTCTATTTTTGTTGTTGGGGAACATGCACATAAAACTTCTTGATATCTGCTTTATCTCACTCTTATACTTCTTGCATGCCAGAAGCTTCCCCCCACCCTCTCTCTTTTTTTCACTCTGTCAACCCAGCCCATGTGAGCTACCATCTTTTTGCTACTGCTGTCCTCTCTTGCGTCTCCCTGGCTTCAGCACACACACATATGCATTGATTACATCACAACATTTCAAGCATCAAGACGATTGCATTAAATTTAATCAACATTTTTTTTAAAAACAGCATCAGAATACAAGATATTTATTTCTATTGTACTTTATGCTTGAATATGCTGCATTTGATAAACAGGTAAAATGAGTTTTAAAGATTAAAAATAAAACACCTACTTTCCAGAAAAGTCTTTTCAGAATGAAGTTTTTCTGGGCTGCTACTTTAAGTTCCGTGATTAGACAAAGTATCCTCCTCAACGTGTTGTCTTTAAGAAACAGTTCAGATTTAAGCTGACCAAAGTGCTTAATTTTCTCCTCAGATCTACAGAAAGAAAATGTGCCATGGGAAAAAAATGATAAGAAACAGCAGTTGAGGAATATCAACAATTATTGACAGGTATGTAAAACTTTGTTACTAATGGAATTTTTTTCTTTAGTTCCCTGAGGCATTTCATTTGCATGTATGTATTACATCCCTAAAAAAAGAATTCAAGGATTTTTCCCTCCTGTGTGTTTTCATCTTGCTTATTCATGGTCTGTGATGCCAGCTGAGGTTGTCGGTACACTGAAACCAAACTGATGTGACAGGAGCAGCTTATTCTGCCATTTTTCCACATCTTTGAGTTGCACATCAAATCTGAAGCTGATCACTCCACACTTATTTAGCCTGTCTGTGAGGTTCCCAACAATCTTCCCAGCCCTGTGATCATCGATTATTTAAAATTTGCCAATGTAACCATGCTCCATCATGGAAGATGACGTTGGAGCACAGCCTAATAAGAATTTGGCGTTTACCTCTCTTTGGGGCGTTGCTGATACTCTTGAAAGCATTAGCCAGGACATTCATGGTGCCACCATCATGGCGGCATGGGAAGATGGCCGAAAGACGACTCATGGAATATTAATATAGTTTTGTACTTCTAACTTAATTACTTATCAGTAATGAAAACTGCTCCTTGTAGCCCTCCAGGCTCCTCTGTCCATGGAATTTTCCAGGTGAGAATACTGGAGGTCACCATTTTATCCTGCAGGAGATCTTGACCCAGGGAATGAACTCACATCTCCTGCATCTCCTGCAGTGCAGGCAGATTCTTTAGTGCTGAACCACTGGGGAAGCCCCTAAATTGAACTGTTTATTACTCTCCAAACACATTTCTTACCATGCCCCTTTACCCGAGCTGTACATATCCCAAATCTTCTGTCCCTCTTTCATAGTCTAGCTCAGAGTTCGTTTGTATACCATTTACCATAATCTCTGAATCATATGTAATATTATTTGCATACTATTTTTCCTTTAAATCAACTCATTTTTCTTAGAGAAATTTCTTTACGAAGAAAACTTTTTATTACTACTTCGCAAGGGAAAATCCCGTACTGTTTGCTATAATTAGCAGGTAACTGTAAAAACAGCTTGAAAGCAACAAAATTCTAAGTAGATGCTCCCTATTTTGAGCCTGAAGTCTGCTCTCCCTTTGACAAAAGGGCAGATGAGTGTTAGAGAGCTGGCACCAAGTCAAGAGATTCTCCCTGATGAGATCAGACAAGTTGGAAAAGAGAATCACTTTTTTACCGTGGAATTCAAAGTCATTTCATGCCATGTCAGAACACCTCATGAAGTCACCCCACATCATTGCCCTATGTGCGTTCCACACTTCGGGAAAAGCTGGCTTCACTGGAATGAGTTAACACCTTCTCCTTAGGGCTTTCCCTAATTCCACCAACCACGGGGACCCTCTCCCATAGCCCTTTCTCCATACTTCACTCCATTGCGGTTTCTTTGTCTACTTACCTGGGCCCCTCAGCTGATTTGCAGCAACTTGAAAAACCATGAACAGGTTGGATGTTGTTTCCATCTCCCACTGTGCTCAGCAGTAACAGCTGCGCTTAGCTGAGCACCGACTCTGGGGCAGCTTTGGCCTGGGGGCTCCTCATGGACTGACTCCCTCAGTGTGACTAAGTGGGCGGAGCTGGGGATTACTATCGCGCTTACAGGACATTACGTTAGGTAGCCTGTCCAAGCTCACACAACCAGTGATTCAGAAGAGCAGAGTGCAAAGTAACAGTAAGAGAGCTGTTTCATGTACTGTGTAGATCAATGGAAATGTCTTAGAATTTCTGACGTAAAGTAAAAATAATTTTACCACTTACTCCAGAAATCTTGGTATCAGCCCTTTATTCCAATAATACTACACAGAATCTTGGTTCTTGCCCACTACCTCCCACTTTATTTTTTAAAAAAAAATCTAAGATGATCTCTTCTATCCAACCAATGAACCTCTCTTATTAACATAAAAATTAAGACTTTCTGAAAAGTAGTCTCTTTTCTAGTGAAGACACCAGAGTAGAAATGAACACAAAGAGATCAATCTCAGCCATCAGTTCAGTTCAGTCGCTCAGTCGTGTCCGACTCTTTGCGACCCCATGAATCGCAGCACACCAGGCCTCCCTGTCCATCACCAACTCCCAGAGTTTACCCAAACCCATGTCCATGGAGTCAGTGATGCCACCC